CCTGTTGGTAGAAGTAGAAGATTTCTTATGGATCCGGATCTAGCAATGGTTCACAGGCCTTGGCATAGATTGCGCCTCTCCGTCATTTCTGCTGGCCAAGTTGTCCGAAATTTTACCTTCTTTAGGCCTTTGATATCCACTCTATCAGTCTATCTTCTCCGACGGTGTGCTCATACGTTGAGATGTGTGTCTGAGCGTGATCCGAAGCGATATCTAGAGGAGTTTTGTGGTTTATGCATCTGGGTCCGGGGTTTTCCAGTCGGGATGGAATGTGGGAAACAATTAAGTAGAAATGGTTCATCTTTTATCATAAAAGTTTTATGTGGAGTCCTGCGGATATGAGGCTGCTATTGTATGATGGTCTTGTCAACTTGCTTGAATGTAACTTTGAGCTGAGAAATTATGTCTTCGAGGCTTCGAGCTCTTGCGAATGTTACCATGTATAAAGCAGTGAATCCGGCTGGAAACCTTGTGGTTCTTTGCGTGTCTAGCTCTTCGTTTAGTTGTCATATGCGCAAAGAAGCACCTAATATGGTGATTTGCTTCTGCTAATCCTTGACTTATATATCGTGGGGCAGCTTAGGTGCTCATTTCATCATGATGATCGCACTTTAAGATCTTTGTGATTTTTTTTGGGTAACTCGGTATCCTAGATCAAGGCCTAGACTAATCCCAAGGGGCGGGAAGCCCAGATGAATGTTTCTCTCGAAACTTGGGGTTCGAATTCGGGACGAGACAAACACTTTGCGTCTCTCTTTTACTGGTTGAACTATCCAAGTTTGGGTAGATCTTTGTGATTCGCTTATATGATTTGAAGCTAAATCTGAAATTCTGATTCTCTTCGACATTTTTCCTATTAAACGGAACAGTGAGAATGCTGAGAGAAGAGTTGCAGTTGCTTCAGGAACCTGGATCCTACGTGGGTGAAGTGGTAAAAGTAATGGGGAAAAACAAGGTCTTGGTTAAGGTATGCATCTGTGTTTAATTATCTGGTTTTTTTGTGAATTTTCATTGGAATACTTGGGGTCATAAGACTAATTTGCTTGGCATAAAAGATGGTTTGAGTTAACTGCATATTGTATGTAAGCTTTGGTTTTGATAATAATTCTGTAGGCATGGTAAATGGGTTTCTTTGTTGAAACTCAATGTTAAGGCATCAAATCTCCTTTTGCCAGGTTCATCCCGAGGGGAAATATGTTGTTGATGTTGACAAAAGCATAGACATCACAAAAATCACGCCATCCACTAGAGTTGCTCTCCGTAATGACAGCTATGTTCTCCATCTAGTTCTGCCAAGCAAAGTCGACCCATTGGTTAACCTTATGAAAGTTGAGAAGGTTCCGGATTCTACGTACGATATGATTGGTGGGCTTGACCAGCAAATCAAGGAGATAAAGGAGGTATGAATTGTGTTAAAATGTCAAAAAGTTGCTTTTCATGCTTCCTGCTCATTAATTCTTACAATTGTTATCCACACCTTGTTAACTTTCAGGTCATCGAGCTGCCAATCAAGCACCCTGAATTGTTTGAATCTCTTGGAATTGCTCAGCCAAAGGTACCCATCTCTATGTATCTCTCGATATATGTTAACAAGTTGAGATGAATTATAGAGTAATCTCTACGTATCTTTTGCTAGGGTGTATTGCTGTATGGGCCGCCTGGAACTGGGAAGACACTATTGGCTAGAGCTGTGGCACATCACACGGATTGTACTTTCATTAGAGTTTCTGGTTCAGAGCTGGTCCAGAAATACATTGGAGAAGGCTCTAGAATGGTTAGAGAACTTTTTGTCATGGCAAGGTTTGTAAAGAGTGTACTCTCTGAACTTATGATCACCTAATTTTAATTGCTTCCACATTATATTTGTTAGAAGTCGATTCAAATTCTCAAACATGGAAAGATATGAGTGGTCAGAGAATGTTTCACGTCGTATGCGCTGTCCATGCATAGCTTAAGTACATACCTTTTAAAACAACAGAATTGTTATTTCTGTTGAGCATTGTAATTCAGAAGGATAAGCTGTTTGATAGTTCAGGGGAATAGCACAGAGTAGACAGTCTGTTATACATACATGCATGTGATTCTTGTGTTGATAAATACTTGTCAGTCGCATGAGTGCAAGCGTATTATCGTTTTTTTTTTCAGGGAACATGCTCCATCGATTATCTTCATGGATGAAATCGATAGTATTGGGTCTGCTCGTATGGAATCTGGAAGTGGAAATGGTGACAGCGAGGTGCAGAGGACAATGCTTGAGCTTCTTAATCAACTTGATGGATTTGAAGCGTCCAACAAAATCAAGGTACTTTTCCATTACCTTGTTGACCTGCAATAGAAAGAAAGAGATTATGTATAATATTCGGAATTTAGAACCCTCTTAAATCCACCCTGCACGCAGGTATTGATGGCAACAAATCGGATTGATATTTTGGATCAAGCACTTCTGAGGCCCGGTAGGATCGATAGGAAGATTGAATTCCCCAATCCGAATGAAGAGGTAATGCTACTGTTTCTTATTGGTTATAATCTAGGGCTCGCAGCATATTCCGGGTGTGAAAAATGGGGTGTTTTTCTGCTACAATGGTGCAGTCGCGTTTCGATATATTGAAGATACATTCGAGGAAGATGAATTTGATGCGTGGAATTGATCTGAAGAAGATAGGGGAGAAGATGAACGGTGCTTCAGGAGCTGAGCTGAAGGTATGCATGTAGATGTGTATGTTACTGAATGAATTGTGATGATTACACTTTCTCATCTTTTACCAAAATGGGTTGGGGTGGAAAATCAGGCGGTGTGCACAGAAGCAGGGATGTTTGCGCTGAGGGAGCGAAGGGTACACGTAACTCAAGAAGACTTTGAGATGGCGGTGGCTAAGGTCATGAAGAAAGACACTGACAAGAACATGTCTCTTCATATATATATATATATATATATCTTATTTGGAACATTTTTATATGTTCTTTTTATGCATTGTGAAACCACGGACTTGGACTCGGACTCGGACTCGGTTAGGTTTTCTCAGCACCAAAAAAAAAAAAAAATATTGGAACTCCCTGTCTTCTTTATGCTTTTCCTAAATGAAGTTAGGCTTTAAAAGCTTTTGAAATATTCACAGACAGAGCCAGCTAATGGATAGTTTACCACTTTCGGCCATGCTTACTCTTTCTTTGTCTTTGTTTTTTATTTTTAGAGAAAATCGTTAAAAAAATCCTGTATTCTTTCTAATTCAACCTAATTGAACGAAAAAATTTTGTATTTTTTATTTACGAATTAAATACTATACTTAGTGTGAACTTAAAAATTCAAAATTTTTTAAAAATCCACATCTATCAACTCAAATAAAAATGATGATGTATCAATGATATGATTTCCAAGTCATGCATACATCATTATAATTATGCTACATCATTATTTCAAACAAAATCTAATTAAATAATTTATTTAAATGATTAAATATATACATACAAATTCACATATATATATATATATTAAATATCAAATTACTTATAACTAATAAAATACATATATACATATCTACAATATATATATATATATATTATAAATAAAAATATATATATATATATATATATATAATATGCATATTAGTTGTATATATATATGTTGCATATATAACTAATATATATACATATATATATATATATATATATATTATTTTTAATAGATGTATTATATATATGTTAGTTATAATTTTTTTAATATGTATATTATGTATGTATATAAAATTAATTATAATTATTTTTATTTTATATATATATATATATTAGTTATAGTATATATATTGTAGTTATGTGTATATGTGTTTTATTAATTACAAATAATTTATTTTTAATATATATATTTATGTGTACATGAATTTATATGTATATATATTAATTTATATTTATTTAATTTAAATTTTGTTTGAAATGATGATATAGTATAATTATGATGATGTGTGTATGATTTGGAAGTTATGTCATTGTCAGATCATCATTTTTGTTTGAATTGACAGATGCGAGAGGTTTTTGGCAAATTTTTAAAAAATTCGAAGTTTTATAGATTAATCATACCAAATATAGGGTTTAATTGTTAAACTAAAAAGTATAGTTTTTTTCATTGACCTGTGAAGAGTATAGAGTTTTTTTGGATGATTTACCCTTATTTTTATTATAAGACTTGATTGTTTCTTTGTCGAACATATTCCAAAATAAAATGTGAAGAAAGTAGAAACTGAAAAAAATAGAAATACAGCATCGTAATTTTCTATATTTTTATTTTATACCTCTAATGATTTCAAATTAAGATATGTTAAAAAGCGAGATACATCATTTTGTTTTTTTACAAGGATCAGGCAAATCGAGGTCGTTTTTCGTCTTACCAAAACTTAGGTACTAAAATGAATATATATATTTTACATCAGAACAAAATGACAAAGTTCTTTCAAATATACTAAATAGGGTATATCGTATATAAATATCTAAATTTTTATAAAATTTCTAGATAAATATCTGAATTATAAAATTTTCATATAAATACTTGAATTTTTCTAAAATCTTACATAAATACCTAGATTTCTGAAAAACTCTCAAATAAACATAAAATCCATTAATGATATCACTTATTTTTATATAAAAAATACCTGAAATTTGTATTTATTTAGAAATTTTTTTAAAAATCTAGATATTTATATAGTATTTTTAAAAGTTCATATATTTATATTAAAGTTTTATAATTTAGATATTTATGTGAGATTTTTATAAAAATTTAAGTATTTACATGTTATTTTGTCTAACTGAGTAACGGTTTTAATTTAAATTTATTTAATATTAATATTATTTTGGAAAAAAGAACAAAGATAAACAAAGAAGCCTCGAAGCAGAGAGGGAGGGGGTACGCGTGGAACTAAAGCTGAAAAGATATCCGACGGTGGATATAGCTGCGTTATAAAAAGAGAAGAAAGTCATCAAATCCAACGGTCAGTAGCGTTGCGTCAACCCTAAGCCAAACCCTCTCTCCTTTTAAACCCCTCTCTGCCTCTCGCCGTTCTTCATCACCACATTTCTCTCTTGTTTCCCCCGCAGCTCGATTCTTTTCTGCTGCTATCAATGGTGAGTCGAATCTCTTTTGCGCTTCTTTTCGGTGTTTCTATTGCCATTGTGATCTTTTGTTTTGTTCCTCGCTGCGTCTTTTGCTTTGATTTCTAGGTTTTCTTCGGTTTCAGATCTCGCAATTGCGTTGATTCGTCGTTGCTTATTTTTTACCTAATTTTGTGAAATCTTTTTGTGCGTAGGCTCTACCGAACCAGCAAACCGTAGATTACCCTAGCTTCAAGCTTGTCATCGTCGGTGATGGAGGGACTGGTACTCTCTCTCTATCCATGTGTGTGTATTTTGGTTCGATTGATGTGTTGAAATCAACTCAGAATTCCTAATCGGTGGTTCAGTTTTACAGTGACTTGGTAGTTTTGTTTAAAATGTTGTAGCGAGATCTGGATATTTGTATTTGAACATTTCCCTTCTCAGAACCGGTGTGTTTTTCTCTTTGGAGAAACAGCCCATCCGAGATGATGCCCAAAGTAGACGATACTTCAGTTGAGAAGGCCAGTACCTCCTTACTATTGCCATTTGTGATTGTGCAGGAAAAACTACATTTGTCAAGAGACATCTTACCGGAGAGTTTGAGAAGAAGTATGAACGTAAGTATTTGGAACGAAGGATTACTTTTCTGGTGCAGACTGTCCTTGTAATCAGTCTTTTCTGAGGCTAGTGTTGTGCTTTCGCAGCTACTATTGGTGTGGAGGTTCATCCTCTTGATTTCTTCACAAACTGCGGCAAGATCCGGTTTTACTGCTGGGATACCGCTGGCCAAGAGAAATTCGGTGGTCTAAGGGACGGATACTAGTAAGTGATTTGTATATGGGCTCCTCTGATCACCTAATGCCATATTAGTTTGATGTTGTGAGAAACATGTGGAGATGCATTTCTTTACTCATTTTCGCAGCATAAAGATGTAATAGGTCACCAATTGGCACATGGATATATACAACTTGCAATGATATGGTGATGTACTAGGAACTGCTCATGTGAAGTTATGAGTTGTTGATACCTTTAATAACATGTCTTCACTATGTTCAACTTGTCTTCTCGGTTTCTTTTGTATGATGTCTTATCATTTCTGCTTTTGTACCTTCTTGCAGCATCCATGGACAATGTGCCATCATTATGTTTGACGTTACAGCCCGTCTCACATACAAGAATGTTCCTACATGGCACCGTGACTTGTGCAGGTACACTACTAGATCTCTCATTGATGGATGTACATCTGTTTTTTAGCAGCATATTGATCGGCAACTCATTTGTCAACAGGGTTTGTGAGAACATCCCGATTGTTCTCTGTGGAAACAAAGTTGATGTGAAGAACAGGCAAGTGAAGGCGAAGCAGGTTACTTTCCACAGAAAGAAGAATCTTCAGTACTATGAGATCTCTGCCAAGAGCAACTACAACTTTGAGAAGCCATTCTTGTACCTTGCCAGGAAACTCGCCGGGTAAGAATTGACCCACCCATAATAATCACTTCTGATTCTGGAGAATGGTATTTGTCGGATTTGTAACATTAAAATCCACCGTTTCAGGGACCCTAACCTTCACTTTGTGGAATCACCTGCCCTTGCTCCCCCAGAAGTCACCATTGACTTGGCTGCTCAACAACAGTAAGTTTTCACTTTTTTATTAGAGATTATATATCCCCGCGTTAATTTCTAGCGAGAATTCATAAATGGTAGTCCACCAAGTACAACTAGGGGTAGTCAGTTTGAGAAAAACTATAACCATTCGGGCTTTATGTTGAATTTGGTTCAGTTTGAGTTTGGTTTTCATCGGTATTCAGTTTGGTTTTATCGTTTTTCATAAGCATAGGGTTTTTATACGGGATTCGATGATCAACCAAATTTACCACAGTACAACTATTAATGCAATACAAACCTATACTTGCAGGCATGAGGCTGAGCTCGCAGCGGCAGCAAGTCAGCCACTTCCTGACGACGATGATGACACCTTCGAGTAAAAAAGAAGCTGTGTGTGGGGTCGATGTTACATATTTTGATCGTCATGTGTTTTTTTTTCCTGAGTTTTGAGACGTGGAATTTGGTTTGTTAGGTTGAGGGTTTTTATGTCCCTTTGCGATTTTCAAACCGAGTTTTTAAAAAATGTGATCGTTGTGTTGGAATTTGCTCTCTCCGTTACCATGTTCTATTTTCAATGGTGTAATCCATTCCCCATTAGTTCTATGCCTCGGATTCTATTTCAGTTCTTCTTATGATGTATTAGCCAGATTGTCGCATTATTATATGTTTGCGCCCAATTCACAGCCGAAGGTACCGATTCTCCCTGCAGAGGTGTCAACAAACGGGCCGTTCCGAGTCCATAATTCAATCCCAAGGTTTCTCGTTTGAGCAGACTCGAATTTTTTCTGGGCTATACGATCAAACTTGAAGTTTGATTCTCGAATTGCGTTGGATTGACTTTAGTCCGTTCAATTTTTGTAAGTATTTTTTTTCTAATTTTTTGCATTATTTTTTTAAAATTATATGGGCTTTCGAGTCGATTTGAAATCTAATTTAAACCCGATTCGAAAGTCCGAAGTTTTGTCGATAAAAAAATTTTAGGTTTAAACTCCAAAATTTTTCGGGTGGGTTCGGACTGAAATATCGGATTTTTGATTTAAATTGACACCTCTAAAGATTTAATGTTATTAGAATTGGATTTTCTGTTTTGGATTCAAAATTGTTAGAATTGTTATAAATAAAATATATTTATGGTGGAGCTCACCGTTACTGTTCATACCACTCACTGTTCATATATATACGGTATTGTTCACACCGACTGTATACATGAACAGTACCTTCGGGATTTCTATAAATAGGCCATTTGGGTTTCTCCATTGGTACACTTTCAAGAGAGAGATCAATAAGAAATACATCCTTCTCCATTCTCCTAAAATACCATTTTCGGTTATAGTTAACGATCTAATATTCGGATCGTTTATATTTATCCGATTTCATAACACGTTATCAGCACGAGCCCTCTTCCACAACTAAAGGTAAGATAACTTATCTTTAATATTAGGGAAAATGACATTTTCCTACACCAACTTTGCAAAATGTGACCTTTTCCTACACGAATTTTTAATTTGACAAAAAACTACACCAAATTATCAAATGTGCCAAATTGATACACGAACTACCCAATTTAACTGCAATTTTCTACACAATCCGAAAACGGTGTTAAGTGTCCGTTAATCGCTGACGTGGCACGCCACGTGGCGGCTGACGTGGCACACCACATAGATTTTTTGCCACATCAGCATGCCACGTCATATTTTAAAAAAAAAATTCCGAAAAAATATGAAAAAAATCGATTTTTTTTTAAATTTAAAATAAAATAAATAAACAGCAAAAAAAAATATACATATATATTCATATCTATATACAAATAAAAATATAAATATATATACAAAATAAAAAACATACACATATATATACAAACATCTATACAAAATATATATATACATATACATACAAACAAATATATTTATATATACATATACATATATAAACACATATATATGTATATATACATATGCATATACATACATACATACATACAAAATAAAAATCACA